ACTGATATGGCACTAACTTTGACTCTCATGAAAAGGATGGGCTTAGAGCAAAAGCAACACAATTACCATATTCCTTAAGGGCTCTCAGTTCTACCTCTGAAAAGTTCCCTTGGATTTCTGGTCAGTGAGCCACGTGGCCAGCCTTCTTTGTGGACACAGCCCTGGCATTTCCTTAATTGCAACTATATCAAGGACAGATCATTATAGTGATAAGAGGGTGAACCCTGTACACAGAGTCCTGCTCTGGAACCCACTAGTTATATGGCCTTGGACAGGTCATTTAACCCTTCCATGAAGTTTTCTTATCTATATAAAAGGGAAAACAAAACTAGCATCTTCTGAGTTTTGTGATGATTAAATGACCTCAAAAATGAAAATTGTTTGGCACATTACTTGGCACCCCGTAATGGATCAGTCCATTTAAGCTGAATTTTTTAAAAAATCATAGTAATTGAGCTTCTGTTTACCAGTGCTTACCTGAGACAGCCCATCGCATTGCTAGCAGGCCCCATCAAAAGGCAACCCTTGAGGTGCCTGGGTGGCTCAGTGGGTTAAGCCTCTGCCTTCGGCTCAGGTCATGGTCTCAGGGTCCTGGGATTGAGCCCTACATCAGGCTCTCTGCTCAGTGGGGAGCCTGCTTTCCGTCCCCCACCCCCGCCTTTCTCTCTGCCTACTTGTGATCTCTCTCTAGGTTAAATAAATAAATAAAATATTTAAGAAAAAAAAAAAAAGGCAACCATTATGTGCTTCCCTGTAAGTCCTATCACAGGGTCCCATCTGCGCCATTGAGCACTTAGATCTAAGCCTCATGGGGATACTTCTGACTCTGAACCAGGAGCAAGGCTAGCCCATGCTTGGTCTCCATCCCTTTCTTCTTCTTCTCAGATGGAGGAACCCCACAGGAATGCTATCTGGCCGTCAGTCCCAGAGCCATCTCCTCTATTCCTGTACCCCCTTTCAACATGGTTGGCATACTTCCTTTTTGAACAATTCTACAGTGGCTACAGCAAATGCCCTTGAAGGGGCGCTGCAGTGGATGTTGGATTGGCCATGTCCCGGGCCATGTTCATGTCTCTGCTCCTGGAGTCTGGTTGGGTCAGCCAAGGATGCTTCCTTCTCGTAACATTCCTGTACAGAGTGTGTGATTTCACCTCTGATGCTTGTTGACTGAACTCATTGAATTTGTCTAAACCACTGGGTTCTGGCCTTTCAGAAACCCTCCCTGGATTGAACCATCATTGGTTCATGGTCACCACTGAAGGTGCTTCAGTGTAGGACATCTTGGGACTTATTTGGGGAACGGTTTCTAACACTGATCCAAGACCTTCACTTTCCCTTGACTGTGGATCTTGATTCCATCCTGGGAGCAGTGTTTGACACAGTTCATTATTCCTTCCTTCTTGAAACACTTTTCTTAGCTCTAGGTTGCTCAGTTCTCCTGGGTTGTTTTCTTACCCATCTAGCCACTCCTGCTCTGCCTCCTCTATAGGCATATTTTCCTTCTTCTGTCACTTTTTCTTTCCCTGGGTGGCTCCATCAACCTCAACCTTTAGATATGGTCTGTGTGCATATATCACACTTTTACTTCCAGCTCAGACCTCTTTCCAGAGTTCCAGACCTGCGTTTTTAACCACCCCTTTTCTAGAGTATATCTCTAGCTCATATTGCTCCAAACACACCCATTTTCTCTCTGTAGCTAAACTTACCCTATTGTTTCTCAGACCCATAAACAGCACCATCATCCACCTTCTTATGAACACCAAAGACCTGGGGCACCTGGGTGGTGCAGTTGGTCAAGCATCCAACTCTTGGTTTCATCTCAGGTTGTGATCTCAGGGTCATGAGATCGACCCCACATTGGGCTCCACGATCAGCAAGGAGTCTGATGAGGACTCTCCCCCCGCCCCCTTTGCCTCTCCCCTACACATGCATGCACATGTGCACATGTGCGTGCACACACACACACTCACACTCACACTCAAATCTTTAAAAAAAAAAGAAGAAGAAGAAGGAAACCGAAGACTTGGGGCATCTTTGACATCTTTCTCCCTCATTCTCTGCATCCGTCCCATCAAGAGGTTTTCGTTTGATTTATTTGCATTTCAGGTAATTATCTCTTTTATTCTGTTTCCACCACCATCACCTAAGCCCACCTGGATGCGTGCCACTGTTTCCAAATTCGCCTCTTCAGGCCACTTTGGCTCGACACTGAAGCTGGAATGATCTGTTGGAAAAGTAATTCTGAGCATAGTATTGCTCCATGAACAACACTTAAATGGCTCTCTGGGTTTCTCAAGGTGAAGAACAAAAGCTCTCACTGTGGCCTCTGATGCCCTGTGCGGACAGGCCCCAGCTGCGCTCTCCAGCTTCTCTCTCACTGTGCTCGCCCTGCTTTCTCATAGGTTACACTATGTTTCTTTCATTTCTTGAATGCACCAGGCTCCTTACCCCATCACACAGCCTCAGCCAGTGCTGGTACTTCTGCGGCTCTCACAGGCTCCTCTCATGTTCTTTACCTGGTTACAGCCCGTTGTCCCTTGTAGCTCACCCCACTGGCCACATCTTGCTGCTTGTGATTCATTCCCCTAGTATGTGCTTTCCAAGTGCCACATGCCTCTCTTTTCTCATGCTTAACAGACTTGAAAGTTTAGGGTTACTGATTCGTCATTCATTAATTCTGTCTCCCGAGCCCCACCCACCACTCGTGGTAGGTTCTTGGAGGGCAGGAACTGTGCCTGTTTTGCTCACCACTGTATCACTGAATGCCTGGCATATCGTGAGTGCTTGTGATTATTTATCAGAGGAATGAAGTATGAATCTCTTTAAGCCAAGCCAGTAACAGTGTTCCTAAGGTAATAGGATCCTCTCCAGGACTCCTTTGCCCTTAGACCCCTGGTCTCTAGAATAGGATCTCAGAGCAGGCACTAAATAAAGTTTAGCTATGGCAGTGAATGCTCCAGAGCCATTTTCCTTCCTCCAAATCCAAATCCAAATCCAAATAAAAAGGCTCTGACACAATTGAGGAAACTGTCACCTGAGGTGTTCAGTTTTCCTTATGTTTGATATGCAGTGGACTAGCCATATCTCAGAAATCATGGCTCCAAACTGGGAAATGGAGGCTATGTGGGCGCTCCTTTGGAATCATCCCCCATTCTGGGATAGGAGACCAGCCTGCCCAAGAGGTGGTTGGCTAACTGCCTCACAAACTTTCTGGGCTGTAGATAAGTAGAGCTTGCTTGGGCAGGCCTGGGATTTGGTGAGCTGGTCTTGCCTTTTGTTGGTGAAGGAAACCGAATAAAATTCCATGTTCATGAGTCCAGCTGGGAGAAGGATCTCTCATCCCATCCCAGAGATAGTGTCGGCTGGCACATGGATGCTCAGTAGCAAGTGGATGAATGAATGACACAAAGAACTGCTGTCCACTTCTCTTTATATCATCCAGTAATCATCTGTTAACTGGAGGAGGAGGACGGCCTGTGTGAGACTCTGGCATTAGAGAGATGAGAGCACTCACTCCCTGTTCTTGGAGACTGTCCATTCCCACTGGGGAGGCTGGACTATGTAAACCCAGCTTGTCCCAGTTACAAGACAGTTTGGGGAATGTCTCCTGATACAGGAAAACACTTGACACTCTTAGCCAAGAAGGGATGCATCCTTGTGCTGGAGGGCTGTTCTTAAACATCAGTGACTTTGGGGAATCAGAATCATAGCTATGGGCATTAACATCCCTTCAATTCAGCTGAGTCCTGTGAACACATGACTGAAAAAGGAGAAATTCAGTTTGGTTCCATGAGAACAAATGTGTGTGGGCAGAGATGTCACCCCTTCAGCTAAACGTTGAACAATCACAGACGTTAAGGGAACACCTATTACAAGCCAGGCTCAGTGCTACCATGAGGAAACAAAGACAAAAGAGGTATAATCTGCCCCCCAAGGAGCTTGCAGACCACTGGAGGAGACAGATGGAGAAACAAATAACTAATATCTGTATATTGAGGTGTGTGCAAAGTGTTACAAGGAGTTAGAAGTTAGTGAAGAGAAAAGAACTCTCCCAGGGGCACAGGCCAACAGAGGAGATGTAGTCACTGATGAAGAATGAGCTGGTGCTGATGAGGCAGAAAAGTAGGGGTGTGTCAGGGGAAGGATTCTGTGGATTTAGGCTGCCACACACAAACGTGGCACTGCTGGGAATATGAGTAACAGCAGGAAGGAATTCATTCAGGGTGCTGGTAACCTCTGGGCCACTCTCCTGAGGTGTTCATGGAGGTGTCCGGAATGAGAAGGGACATCTGATCCCTGATCCATTGCCTGAAGAGGCCAGGCAGAGGTATTTTTTTGGCTACCTGGAAGGAAATCAACAAGTTAGTACCCGGCAGAGCACGTAGCATCGGCATTAAATTCCAGAAATGGAGTCAGTCACGTGTATTTTCTGAACCCCAGGCAGTTCCTTCAATGCACTAAATTTCTGCCACACCATTTGTTTCATCTAAGGCTCAAAACAAAATCTTTATGTTTTTACCTTTAAAGTTCCAGTGATTTTAATCATGTTACCTTAACACAAAGCTGTTGTTTTCACCATTTACCAGAAGGAATAAAATAGGGCTTGGGATAATTCCACAAACCCAAGAATCAAATTATAGATCCATGGTTTGATTCTAGGGACAAATCAGTGTGAGAGATAAAACTCTCCACTTGATCTCCCTGGAGGATAACAGTGCCCCAACCTAGCTGTTGTGCAGCCTTGGAACACTCATTTCATTTCTCTGAACTTCAGTTTCTTCTTCTGAAAAAAAAAAAAAAAAAAAAAAAAGGTATAATAATCCCAACATCACAAAGGACTAATCCTCAAAAAGATTAGATGGGACACTGTGTGTAATGCTCTCAGTGTAGTGCCTGGCACATAGTCAGCACTCCATAAATGGAACCTGTTGTCATTATAATTGTTGTCTAGTCATGTGTATGAGCCTTTTCAACACTTTTCTTCTTCTTTTCCCTTGAAGGTGCCTCCACTCAGAATTCTAACACTGTGGAGCCAGAGAAGCAGGTGGACAACACCGTGAAGATGGCTGGTGTGATCGCGGGCCTCCTCATGTTCATCATCATTCTCCTGGGTGTCATGCTCACCATCAAGAGGAGGTGAGTGTCTGGTGCTGCCCTGCAGACTCTGCTGACCCCAGCTGGTCCAGTACTGCCATGTGGCCAGGTCCTGGCTCTGTTGATCACTTCTGAGCAGGGACTTTCTTTTATGAGTGTTCAAATCCTGAAATCCTTGAGCCACTTGTGGATCATTGTATTGGCATCTGCCTACTTGGCAAGTGGCCCAGAGATGGGTGGTTTCCTACAGAGCCAATGTTCCCTCCTGCGGTTGGGCCACCGTGATTGCCATGGGATTCCATGGCATGAGTCTTCTCAGAGTTAACTGCTCTGTTGTCACCGATTGTGTCTCATCAACATTACTGGAGAGCCCCAGAAATACAGATGGAGGAAAGTAATGATTCACCCTTTTTGCCTTCACTCACCCTGATTTCTCATTCGTCTACCAGCAGCATCCCAAGCTGACCCCCACATGGCAGAGATAAGTCTCCTATAGTGCAGTAGTCCCAAGGGAAGTTTCTTTCCTACTCTATGTCCCATAATACCTTCCCACCTGGAATTTTGCTACTTGTTATTTCTCCATAAGATGTCTTCCTGGGTCTACTAACATAGTTATCGCCTGTTGCATTGCTCATGAAAGCCGGGGTATAGACTTCTCCTTATCCCCAAATCCCTAAGATTTGCCACACTGACGCCTGTTTATCAGACATTCATAAGGGAATTGCAGACAATTTCCTTTTGGAAAGGAACCATTCATCTAGGAAAGCTGAAGCATATCAGCTATCACTATCCCTGGATGCAAGGTTATTACTCCAAACAGGGAGTCCCAGGGCCCATCTCTCCTTGACCCCTTGGCTGGCGCCATGTTTCCATGCCTATGACCCACCTCCCTGTCTTCTCAGTTTCAACATGGTGGTCCCATTCTTCGTCTCCACCTTCCCACTCCCCTAGTCAGCCAGAGCAAACAAAACATTTAGTTACATTGTAACATTATGTGCCTTAGCATGCCCTGCCCCCAGCTTAAAGATAATTTTACATCATTAAACAAACCACTTGACACCTTAGCCTGAAGCTCTGGTTGTTTGTCATTCACAGAGTTCAGGGCAAGCCCTGTAACAAGGACCAGGCACTTGCTTCCATCTGTAGAACAAAAAGTGCTTGTGAAATTTGCTTCCCACCAGAGCAAAGAGATAGAATGTCCTAAAGACAAATCCTAACTTCTACCTAAGGAGTCCCATGAATATAAATGCAGAAAAGTTTTTTTTAAATCTCCCTTTCCAGTGTTCAGTGAGTCAGAAATACTGGCATTCCCACTATACATACAATCAGCCTTCTCTTGGCCATTTTGACAGGAGAATATACCTGTGTCTTTCATGACTCTCTTCTGAACCAGCCAGTCCTCCCTCTGGTTAGGACATCTTCTTGTAGAACCTTGTCCTTTCTTGATGTGCTTTGTCTAACAGGATCACTCTTTTCCTCAGGCTCTCAGTAGAATGATGGGAGAGTTAAGGTCATTACCCAGCTACTGTTTTTCTGGTGGGAGAGGGGGAAGGGAAGGTCTGACAGTAATATCCGGGAACAAGGGCCCCCGAAGCATTAAGGACAGCATTGCATTGTCATATCCTCATCATCCATAAGACCATATTGTAGGTCTCAGTGACAAGTCAGCTGCTATTAGATGAAGTCAAACATGAAGGCTGGTTTCTCTGGGAGCAGTAAGCACGTGTAAGATTGCTGACATGTTTCTTAGAGTCACAGACACATTAGAGGCGGAGGTGACTCTGGGATTGCCTACCTGGAAAACGTAACCAATTTAGTAGAAACGCATTCCTCTCTGATAGACCTGAAATGTTCTCATTCTTTGCCACTGATTTGTAAGTCAGATAAGCTCTTCCAATTTTGCTCTTTCTAAAGCCTGGCTTAACCCACGTCACCATCGTCTGTGAGCTTGTGAAGAAATTTCACTTCCTTCTCTGCAGCTATTTCTGCAATGTGTGACTTTTCGGGAGGGAGGAAAGAGCTTTCTGTTTCCACGGTGGGAACAGGTATAAAGTGAGTCCTTTGTGTGGATTTAACCTCTACTGCATATCTTTATCATCTCTCACCTGTATCAAAACAGTCCATTAGACCCAAGGAAGGACCCAAGGACCCTCTTGTGTCCCCAAGAGGCAAATCTGAGATGTTGTGGCATCAATGGGGGTGGGCAGGGGCGGGGACTAATCACTGTTTGCATACACAGTATCTTTTGGGAAAAAGAAGAGAAAGGGAAAAGAAAACCTAGTTGACAGTAATAATTTATAGACGGGTGCAGGGCAAGGAAAGAAGAGAAAAAAAGAACATAGTATAGAACTGTACTCTTGCCACTAGTGTACAATGTCTTCTGATGTTGAGAGATGCCCCCAAAGGACAGAGAAGCATTTGGTGAGCTCCTTTAGCTCTTCTGACTCCAGCCCCATATAGAAGTATGGGGAAAACGTCATTGTTCAATTAAGTCTGTCACTAACTTACTACTGGCCTGAATGCTGTCCCAGCTATCTAAAAGGAAGAGGTATTAAAGGAAAAAAAAAACCCAAATAATAGGTAGATCATCACAACTCAGGATCCTAGTGTCAGCATCTCTTCAATGTCCCACTGTAACCTCAAGTTAGTTCCTGGATGCAGGAACTCTCAGAAGTCACATGCCTGATATGCCTCCTCCACTGGCTTGAGCTGGGTCTTCTTCGTCACCTTTATGGACATGGGAGTGGTGGCTTCCTATTTCCTCTGCTCCTGAGGGATTCAGCTGGCTCAATAATTTCCCCAAAGCCCAGCCAGGTATTCCAATACACAGAAGATGTCCCTTGATTCTCCCTGCAATGTTCATTGTCATTGGCCTTGGGGCTTCCTTGTGACCCTCCGAAGAGAGTCTTTCTCTTACTTGTTTTCTTTTGGGATACTGAATTAGAAAGTGACAGAGAATGAGCTAGAAACACAGGGGACCAAGGGGAAAACTTAATGAAGGACGTTAAATCAATTGTTTTGTTGTTGCTGCTTGGTTGTTTTGTAATGGATTAAGTGGGTATTTAGCAATGTACAGTTGCGGGAAGGGATATGAAATGTTGGTGGGTGATTCAAACAGGATTTGCAGAAGGTACAAGTTATAGTATTTTGCATAGTACCTTTGGCTCTTTGGAGAGGGCTTCTTTGAACGCAGGCCAGTGCAGAATCAGAGCTCCATGGAGATACAGAGTGTTACATGAGCATTAGAAGAAAGCAACCTGGAGGGGTGCCTGGGTGGCTCAGTGGGTTAAAGCCTCTGCCTTCAGCTCAGGTCATGATCTCAGGGTCCTGGCATTGAGCCCCATATCAGACTTTCTGCTCATCAGGGAACCTGCTTTTCCCTCTCTCTCTCTCTCTCTGCCTGCCTCTCTGCCTACTGTGATCTCTGTCTGTCAAATAAATAAATAAAATTAAAAAAAAAAGAAAGCAACCTGGAGCTCCTCCCTGATACAGTTCTTAACTGGGATATTGAATATTGGTTGGATAATGGGTCCATCCTTTACTCCTGGTTCTCATGATCACATCTGGACCTCAGAATGTTCTAGAATGGGTCTCTGCATGCCATAATGTAATAGAACATACCAACTTTTCATGCACCTTGTTGAGTTTTGAAATAGAAACTCTCATTACTATATTACTATATTACTCTCATTACTATAGTCCTTGTCATCTTTTTCCCTGGCCTCCTTCCTCTAGAATTGCTAGTGGTCCTCTCCCAAAGGAATATTCAGCCAAAGGGCTGCCAGGCCACCCCTGTGGTCCCTTGGCTTACTACTATAGGGCTCTGGGTGCCATCAATGAAAATGAGCATGGAAAGTTCAAGCCTCAGTGCCTTAACCTTGGTGTGTGAAGGTGTTTGTTAGCCATTCACATATGGGAAGTCCTACATTTTAATGTTTGTTTTGGTGATATGCACATATGTATGCATGTCCACAAGCTTCATGGTCCCAATTTAATCCTTGGGACACACCCACTGAAGTCTGAGCATGGTCCTCCAAGGCTTAAGGTGTAGCCATTTACTTTTGCATGGGCAAACCCTGGAGCCAGATGAAGTAGGATTCTTTGGTAGAGTTATACCCCAAGACTTGTCTGGATCCCACATTAACTTTCCATTCCTTTTTCTTTCAAATGGAAACTGAGCAACTTTTAGGGAGACCTTTTTGAGGTCAGTCCCTACACATGGTTCTAAGCCACCTCCATCTCTCTTCCTCCTCCCCCTTCCCAGCTCTTCCTGGTCCAGCCTCGATCTTCTGCCAGTGGTGCTTTGTCTGCCCATATAGTAACTTTTCCAAGAATGAATTTGCAGTGTCTTGACTTTGAGATATGAGAGCCTACTTTGAGAAAAATGTGCATCCCTTGGTTACTTTGTTTTCTCTGTAACTTGGGTCTGCCCCAGGAGCTCCCAGTCTAATAGGTATAGACATCTTTTTGCTATGGACAAGAAAGCAGAAAAATGGGGTCCAAATCTCCACAGTTCTATTTATTTGCTGCTAGACTTGGAGAAACAACAAAGCTAAGCCTTTTGCTTTTTCAGCTGTGAGATGCAGCTAATCCCATGGGGGTTGTTCTGAAGATCAAATGAGCTAATTGTTGGGACAGACTTTACTTCCTGTACCTGCCTAAGAGATCATAATGCATAATATCAACAGGGACATTACTCTCTCAAGTGACTGTCAACTGTACCAAGCCAACTCCAGACCCACTGCTAATATGTTAAGGGCAGTGCTAAAATCAGTACACACATTCTAACCTATTTGTAGATTTTCCTTTTAAATGGTCCCTGTATTCTGATTTTAATACTTTAAATAGTCATAGCAAGGTAGGATGTTGGTACTCCTATTGGGGGGGAGGGTGTTTGTTTTCTGCTGTTTTTTGCCGGGGGGGATAGGGAAATGGATACTGAAGTTCAAAAGAGTTTATGATTTTCCCAGTCCTTGGAGAATCAAAACACAAACCCAGGCTCTGTGACTCCAGAGAGTTAACTGAATGCTGGTAGCTTCTAT